TCCTAAATATGGTGCATTTTATGCACGTTGGATACTCACTCTTTGCTCTGTCACCTTCAAACCACTTTTGCCCTACTCCAAGCCTGCATTTCTTTAATGGACCATTCTTGAGTTGTTTATTGCCATGAGGTCTCTAGCACCAGCCTTTGCCCCAACTCTTATCACCTCATGCCTGCACTCCTCTGTGCCGTGTCCCACGTCCTCCCCTCCAAGGTCCCTACCATCCTGCCAGACCCGTATTTCTCAGCACTACGCTGTTATATTGAGGCTGTGAATCTCTCATTCAGCACAGAAAAGCTGATCCTTAAAACCAAAGCTGTGGCTGCACCGTGCAAAAAGCCACAGCTGTACTCAGAAGAAAAATTTCCCTTTCTGCTAAGTCTGGTAAATACAAAGCTCCAGGTAGGTCAGGACAAGTCCAAAGAGAGCAAACCTGGCATGCCTCAGTCCTGAGATCTTGCAAACTTGGTACAAAGCCAGTGGCCAGCAGTGGCCAAAAAGCAAAAAGTGATATATTTTACATTGGACAAATATTGTTGCTTCAAACTTTTCATTTCAAATACTTAATTTTTCTGTCCTTCAGAAGTTTTGTTGTCTAAGAAATTTAGGGTTTTGAAGGAGATGGTATGACACAACTCTTCTATTGCTTTGGTCTTGTAACAGGAACTAAGAAGTTTTCTGGGCCCCTGCTGACCAGGGCAGCTTGGGGAACTGCTCAGGCCTGTGGACAAGGGGTGACAGGTTCAAACTGGAAGAAAGGAGATTTAGATTAGATGTAAGGAAGAATTTTTTTCACTCTGAGAGTGGTGAGACACTGGCACAGGTTGCCCAGGGAGGCTGTGGATGCTTCATCCCTGGAGATGTTCAAGACCAGGTTGGATGGGGCTTGGAGCAGCCTGGTCTAGTGGGAGGTGTCCCTGCCCATGGAAGGGGGTTTGGAATTGGATGATCTTTAAGGTCCCTTCCAACCCAAACCTTTCTGTGATTCTGTGGTTCCATGATTCTGTGACGTTGCTCATGAAGAATAAGTGATACAGGCCTGTTTAGGTGGATGGCTTGTAGGAGAAAAGGAGTTGTCTTTGCAGGGCCTCGGAGGTGTGGTGGAGACATAGCAGGGTCTGGCAGAGAGGCTACAGAAACAAACTTGTTCTGCTGCTGCTCTGCAACAAAACCTCCAATTATTTATTTTACTGGGTAGCATACATGCTCTGTTTGCTGGAATGTCAGGAAGAGAAACTTCCTTTTTTTTGATGAAGTACTTTAATATTGCAGAACGAAGAGGTTATAAGTACACAACTAAGTTACATATGAGCCAGGAAAGAAGAGAAGATTGAGAATAGAAAGCAAGGGAGGGGAAAAAACAAAACAAAACAAAACAAAACAACAAACCACAAAACCAAAGGAAATGATAGTGAGAGATATCTTTCTTTAAAACGAGAGGAGTGATCTTTCTCAAAAATGAAAGTTCCCAGCTGCCAATTAAATGTCTCCAGAGCCTCAGGGACTTTTTGGGACCTAACCCAAAATCATTAGTCACTGGAGCAAAGGAGGCTCAGGAGAGACCTTCTGGCTCTCCACAGCTCCCTGACAGGAGGCTGGAGCCAGGTGGGGATTGGGCTCTTCTGCCAAGGAACAAGGGACAGGACAAGAGGCAACGGCCTCAAGTTGCCCCAGGGGAGGTTGAAGTTGGCTGAGGAACAATTTGTTGCCCTGGAGGACTGTGCCAGGCTGCCCAGTGCAGTGGTGGAGTCCCCATCCCTGGAAGGGTTTCCAAGCCGTGGAGATGTGGTGGTGGAGGGTGGTTGGACTCCATAATCTGAAAGGTCTCTTCCAACCAAAATGATTCCACGATTCTATGATTCTAATTTTCCATCCTGCCTGCCCTGTCGTGGTGGTGGTTCTGGGCTGTGTACAGCACTTTCTGTATCAGCCCTGCATCTTGCAGCTCGTTCTGGAGACCATTTCAGATTTAAGGCTGCCTTGATTTTCCTGTGCAATCCTGGTATCAATAATGATGCTTCACCACCCCTTTGTGCCACTGGTGGGGGCTTGATGGGGAGTTCACTCATCCCTTCAGCCAGACTGCCTTTTTCCACAAATATTTAATTTTCTTAATAGTTCTATCTCATTATGTTAGACATTTTTAGCCATTTTAGAAAACATATACAGCAGGAAAAGCTGATACTGCTTAATAGTTAATAATATAGTGATTAATTGTATTTTCTTAGCAAAGCATTTAAAAACAAAATGAACCCTCTGTTTCTCAGGGCAGAACTAAAAGCAAGATTTTCAACCTCACCTCCTCCAGGACTGTGGACACTTCTGCTCAGGTCTCCAATCGTGTTTCACCTGAGCTGGGAGAAACCTGTGAGATAAAGGACAGACGTCCCTTCCCTCCCTAACACTCCTTAACTGGAATGAATGTGAAGCACATCTGACTTCTTCCTGAGCATCACCCAACATGCTTTCACAGAATGATAGTCTGGCTTGTGTTGAAAACCTGGAACAAAGCCGGTGGCCAGCAGTGGCCACACTGTGGTACTGCTCCATGGGGTCAGTGTGCAGGACCTGTGTCCCAGCTGCCTGGCCAGGCAGATGCTGAGGACATACAATCATGGAACGGTTTGGGTGGGGAGGGACGTTTAGAGGTCATTTCGTCCAACCCCCCTGCAGGGAGCAGGGACATCTGCAACTAGAGCAGGTTGCTCAGAGCCCCGGCCAACCTCCCCTGGAATGGTTCCAGGGATGGGGCAGCGACCACCTCTCGGGGCAACCTGGGACAGGGGCTCACCACCCTCAGTGTACAAAATTTCTTCCTTCTCTCTAGTCTAAATCTGGTTTCAAATCTTCCCCCCTTGTTCTGTCCCAACAGGCCCTGCTCAAAAATCTTTCCCCATCTCTCTTTATAAGAAAACCCCTGGAAGTCCTGGCAGGCCCCCAGAAGGTCTCCCCAGATGGAGCCTTCTCCTCTGCAGGCTGCCCAAGCCCAACTCTCTCCTGCTGGGCTCCCAGCAGAGGGGTTCCCCCCTTGGGTCATTGCTGGGGCTCCTCTGGCCCCACTCCAGCAGGTCCATGCCCTTGTGTTGGTGGCTCCATTGTACTTTACCCTTGATACCAACCAAAGCATCCCATACCAGCAAGTGTAAAGCCAACTGCTGAACACAAGTCCTTGACAAAGACTCTGTGGCCTTCAGGAAATTATGTCCAGGATGTCGGTTGGCTGTATTAGTCAGACTGCAGAAGCTCTGAGGATCAGAGCTAGCAGTGTTTGCTGCAGCTATGAAAATACCATCATAAACACACAGCTATGGTAGGCATGTAGCTGCAAATATGTCAGACAAAAATAGTCTGTGTTGAGAGGTGCCATCTTTTATTAGATGAACTTATAGTCAGAAAAACTATAAAAATATTTCAAACTGGCAATCTGTTCTTCCAGACTGAGAGGCAGTGGCAATATTCACAGCTAAATGTAGCTGAGATCTATGGGCAGCTCTCACATTTCTGTTTAATGTCTTTTTTTTAGCATCCAGTGGAATCAGGAGTTTGTGGTTTTTTTTTTGGTGTTCTGCTTGAAATCCAGCCCTGAGATGAGGTGAGGTTTCCTGTTGCCCCAAGATTGTTCAGGACAGCTTTGGGGCCATGGGGTAGACATGTGCCTACCACCACTCCAGGGTAGCATCTGAGCTCTTCACCCTCCAGAGCCTGGTGGAGACGTGCAAGAAGCTCCCTTGTGGTCCCCAGTCACGTCCCAAGGAGCCCTCCCACACAACATGTCCTCCCCAGTGGTCCCAGCTCCAGCCTTTTTTCTATTCACCCTTAGTGGTATGTGGGTTACTGATGGAGACCAGCACTCGAGGATGGACGTGTTGCCAGTGCAGAAAGGATGCTGTGTCTTTAACAACCATCTCTAAGGCAGAAGCTGTAGGAGAAATCTTCAGTGCAGCGACTACCTAAATTAGCAACCACCCACACACCTCGAGAGCCTGGCTCGGCACGGTGTCCAAGTGAGCTGCACGTGCAGTGGGATGTGACTGGGGACAATATTTTGAGCAGGGCCTGTTGTGGCAGGACAAGGCAGAATGGTTTGAAAATAAAAGAGGGAGATTGAGACTAAAGAGAAGGGAGAAAAGTTTGATGCTGAGGGTGGGGAGCCCCTGGTGCCCCAAGAGGTGGTCGCTGCCCCATCCCTGGAACCATTCCAAGTGAGGTTGGCCGGGGCTCTGAGCAACCTGCTCTAGCTGGGGACATCCCTGCTCCCTGCAGGGGGGTTGGACAAAATGACATCTAAACGTCCCTCCCCACCCAAACCGTTCCATGGTTCTATGATTCTCCAGTTCTATGACTGTGCAGTACCTTTGGTGTCTGTAACTCACCCATGACCAGGCTCCTTCTCCACCCTGGACATGCTGGATTTGCAGGAGCTGGTGTGGCTGTGGTGCCACACACAGAAGCACCGTGGTGGATCATAGAATGACTTGGGTTGGAAAGGGTCTTAGAGATCATCTGGTTCCAAACCCCCTGCCGTGGATTTTTCTGTGTGAAAAACCCCATCCCTGTATGAATTTCCCAAGCTTCCTACACTGGTAGTCACACAAATCCCTCACAACTTCCCCTTTCTTCCATTTTTCATATTTTACATGGATTCCTGTATAAATCAAAAGAAGCAGAATATCTGTGTCTGCCTGTCTGTCAGCTCCCACATAAGCTCTTAATTTTCTGATTATTTTCTACCAAGTCTGACAGAGATGGAACAATCATCAAATAGAGTCATAGAATTGTTTAGGATGGAAAAGACCTTTAAGATCACCAATATGGAGAGCCTCCAGGTTTCGTGAGAGCAGTTCGGTCTCTGGAGAAGAGACAACTTGCCAGTGATGGGCAGGAGGGGAGGGTCTGGATGGGCAGCTCAAGCCACTGCTCATCATTGGGAGCTACGTGGCATGCAGAGCAGGGAAGGATGGATGGGCATCGATGTTCGGACCACGCAGGGTTCACACACCTCACCTGTGTGTGCTCACCTGTGTTGTCTGGGGAAGATGCAGAACCTTGAGCCACAAGCTCTTTTATAACCACGGAACACACAGAATCATATAATGGTTTGGGTGGAAGGGTCCTTAAAGACCATCTCCTTCCAACCCCCCTGCCATGGGCAGGGACACCTCCCACCACACCAGGTTGCTCAAAACTCCATCCAGCCTGAGCTTGAACACCTCCAGGGATGGAGCATCCACAGCTTCCCTGAGCAACCTTTTCCAGTGTCCCACCACCTTCAGAGTGAAGAAGGTGGTGAGACATTGTATAATAATTCACCCTATCTATTAAAGCTTCTGGGCTTGGTTTTGTTTTCCTGAAAAAGATCTCATTTAGGGGTGGATCTTCAGCAACTACATATTAGCAAAAATTCAGCGCTGCAAAAGGAGCAGTGCTGGCTCCTGGCAGCAGGAAGGGCTGGTATGATTTAAAGTATTGATGATGTTTTTCTAGCTTGCCCTGAAGAGGTCAGAGAAACAGTAACTCTTGTGTTTAATCCAACACAGTCTGTTTTTCTCAGCTTAAACTTAGGAAAATGTTTGAGATCTTCTGAAAACTTTGAGATATAAGATGTAGAAACTCAGTGGGGGGATGGATGTGGCAGAGAACATGCATTTCATCACCATGGATGTCCAAACAAACCATCAATAAAGCTCTGATAGTAATGGGGTAACTTCAGATTGCATTAGCCCAAGTTCTGGTCTGTGGTTCCCCACTAATTTCTCCTTTCTCATTAGTGATGTGATGCAGTCTGAGGGAACATCTAGTAGGGAATTGGATCATCAGTGTTGTTGGGTTGAGCCTAAAAAATGGTAGGAAACTGGGTTATTTCACATGTAAACACACCAGAGACCATTTCTCCACAGTGACAAAGGAGCAGCATCCTCGCCACCACATTTGCCCCATCCTGAAGAGTACTCGGGCCACCTTTTCTCGAAGGAGTTTGTTTTTCATCGTGTAGACCATGGGGTTTAACATGGGTGGCAGGAGGACATAGAGATTGGCCAACAGGATGTGAACGCGGTGGGGGACGTTGTGTCCAAAGCGATGAGTGAAAAAGGAGAAAAGTGCTGGGGTGTAGAACATCAATATCACACAAACGTGAGAGCTGCAGGTGCCAACTGCCTTGAGCCGGGCATCCTTGGGCGAGAGCCTGAAGACAGCCTGGAGGATGAGGCCATATGATATCCCGATGAGCACGACGTCCAGGCCTGGGGACAGAAGGGTGGTGGCCAGGCCATACCAGACATTAGCCGAGATGTCGGCGCAGGCCAGGCGGGCGATGCCCATGTGCTCGCAGTAGGTGTGGGGCATGACTCGGTGTCCGCAGTAGGGCAGCCTCTGAAGGAGGAATATTGTTGGGAACATCACGCAACAGCTCCTGGCTACGGCAGCCAGCCCCACCATGGTGATCACCGAGCGTGTGAAGACAGCGGCGTAGCGCAGCGGATGGCAGACGGCCACGTAGCGGTCGAACGCCATGGCCAGCAGGATGGTCGACTCTGCAACGAAGCTCACGTGTGTGAAGAACATCTGGGTTAGGCAGGCATGGAAGGACATCTCCTTGGAAAGGGACCAGAATATGCTCAGGGCTTTGGGCACCGTGGAGGAGGATAATACGAGATCCGCCACGGCTAACATGGCCAGGAATAGGTACATTGGCTTGTGGAGGCTTCGCTCCGCCACGATGACAAGCAAGAGGATGAGGTTGCTAAGGAGGGTTGTGATGTACACCAGGCAGAATGGGACGGAGAGCCAGGCATGCAGGTCTTCCAGGCCTGCCATGCCCAGCAGAAGGAAGGAGGCTGGCTGCAAGCTGCTTTGATTGAGATCCTCCATGGTGGGATGACACCCGAATTAGTTTGGGCTCCCTTTTCTGTAAGTGAAAATAGGGGAAGAGGTGGGGAGTTCATAAAATATAAAAACCCACCTGAGGCTCCTCAGAGCAATTAATTTCTATAGATTCCAAAGTGTTTTAAAAAAATCCTGGGCTGCACGTCCAGCAGCGTGGGCAGCAGGGCAGGGAGAGGATCCTGCCCCTCTGCCCCGCTCTGGGGAGACCCCCCTGCAGTGCTGGGGCAGCTCTGGAGTCAGCCCAGCAGGGACAGCGGGGCCAGGGGGGCCCCAGCAAGGACCCGAGGGGGGAACCCCTCTGCTGGGAGCCCAGCAGGAGAGAGTTGGGCTTGGGCAGCCTGCAGAGGAGAAGGCTCCAGCTGGGGAGACCTTCTGGTGGAATTTCAAGACTTAAAGGAGACCTAGAAGAAACCTGGGGAGGGACTTTTGAGCAGGGCCTGTTGGGACAGGACAAGGGGGGACGGTTTGAAACTGAAAGAGGGAGATTGAGACTGGAGAGAAGGGAGAAATGTTTGGTGCTGAGGGGGGTGAGCCCCTGGCCCAGGCTGCCCCAAGAGGTGGTCACTGCCCCATCCCTGGAACCATTCCAGGGGAGGTTGGCCGGGGCTCTGAGCAACCTGCTCTAGTTGCAGATGTCCCTGCTCCCTGCAGGGGGCTGGACTATATGCCCCTGAAAGGTCCCTTCCCACTCCAGCCACTCTGTGTTTCTATGATTCCACGATTCTATGAAAATTACTCCCCTCACTTGTTGAGGAAGCAAGCTTAAGACAGTGACTGCAAATCAAATAATAATTTTAAATAAAAAGGTGTAATTAAGAGACTCAGATTTCAAATCCATCAAAGTTCACAAGCCTGGCAAAGCACCCAGGAATCCAGCCCTGGGTTGTTGTTATTTATTGTGCTTTATTTTCTATGGCACCCAAAAGCATCTGAGGCACGAGACAGGTTGGGAGTGACCGATGCTGGTTTTACACAACCTGGTCTTTGTGTCAGTACCCACCTCACTTCTCTCCTCACTCATTCACAACACGTTTTGCATGGGACAGCTGAGGAACCCTGCAAGGCAGGAGCACCCAGGGCATGGAGGCTTCTTCCACATCGCAGTGAAGGGTGATCCACAGAGCTGTCAGAACAAAGCAGAGTAGAACATCAGCATCCCGTGGAGGATATGATCCCAAGAGACCACCATGGGCCAGGGAGGCAGAACAGCCCTGAATTTATAGCAAAGTCAGAAGCAAAGGTCTAAGGCTGTGCGTGGCTGTCGGCAGAAAACTTGTGCAGTCCTGGCACGGAGGAGCTCAGGATCCCCAGGGTTTGCTCATGGCACAGCTCAAGGATTGTCCAACTGCATAAGTGGGGGGAGGGATATTTGCATCGCAGCTGGGTGAGAATCATGGAGTCATGGAAATATTTAGGTTGGAAAAGATCTATAAGAGCATTGAGTCCAACCATTCTCCCAGCACGGCCAGGTCCCCACTGACCCATGTCCCTCAGCACCACATCTCCACAGCTTGGAAACCCCTCCAGGGATGGGGAATCCACCACTGCCCTGGGCAGCCTGGGCAGCCCAGCAGTGCTGCCTTAGGTGATCTGCCCCACACTTTTTCACATCCTCCTCTTCTAGTCTCAGCTGGCCATATCTACCATCAGTTATACACCACACAAGCCCAAATCCTCCCATGATGCAACATGCACAGGGTCTGTGTGAGCAGAGTCCCCTCTGTGCACCGTGGAGTCTGCTGCAGCTCTTCTTCTTGGTGCTATCTCGGGTCTGTGCTCCCACTTCCTCTGCAAGTTGCTCAGCCCAAAAGATGATTTCCAGTATTTCCAGAGAAATAACAGAGCCACCCATGACATCAAAATCTAGATCAGCCGAACTAGTCAAAACGTGAAGAAGAGCCATGAACCCTTCATGGACAATGGATGGTCAGGGCCAGGTCTCCAAGTGCTTTGACTCATGGAAACCTGATGATGACAGCAGAAGGCTTTGCTGAAAGTCTTTTGCTTTTTTGAATGCACATCTCAGTCCCCTTAATGGGAGTTATACATGAAAGGCAGCATGAGGTCATCAGAGAGGCTATCGGATTTTTAGAGCCACCTCTTGCATGAACTGTTGATTCAGGTGGAGCTGGGAAGCTCTCCTGCAGGCTGCACACCCTCCAGCTCAGAGAAGAACCCTGGAGCCAAAGTTACAGCGTTTACATGAAAAATGCTGCCTGGAAAATGGTGTTTCTCATCTCACACCAAAAGCTGCAGCTTGCAGTGGTCTGGGGACAGGGTGGGAGCTTCTCCTGACTGCAGAATTTTACCTTCTGGTTCAAATCAGGCACCTCAGTCACAAAACCCCGTCAAATGGCAGTGACTGCAAAGAACTCACCAGCTCCCGTGGCAGCCAGGATGAGGACCTCTGCCTCTGGACCCAAGGGGATACCTGCAGAGAGGGCAGGGAGGTGGCAATATTTATCCACTCCCCCCAGGTCCCCATGGGGCTCCCAGGCAGCGGGGAGTGGCTGAGCTCTGGTCTGTGCTACTTGGGCAAACGTGATGGAAAATATACAGAATTATCAAGGGTTTGAGTGGAGCTCCCTGAGTGAGCTGCCTGGTGAGAGGCTACCTTCAATCACCTCTGCAGATCATCATAGAGTCAGAGAATCATGGACTGGTTTGGGTGGGAAGGGACCTTTCAAGGGCATCCAGTCCAACCCCCCTGCAGGGAGCAGGGACATCTGCAACTAGAGCAGGTTGCTCAGAGCCCCGGCCAACCTCCCCTGGAATGGTTCCAGGGACGGGGCACCCACCAAGATGACTGAGGATCTGCTGCCCATGCTGACCCAGGGGGTGTCCAAGCTCCAGGGTGACCAATGAGGTGACCGTGTCTGGTCCCTGCTGCAGGCTCCTGGTGATGTTCCTGGCCGGAACACTCAGCATCAGCTTGTCCTCAGTGAGGACTCTCTTTGGGGGCATAAAAAGGAAATCCAACATTAACGAAGAGTCAGTGGGTGGCTGAGTGGAAAGAGGTTGGGGAGGAACAGGAACTAATGAAAATGTGAAGAAAGTCAAACTTGGCTACCTAAAATTAAGCACTAAATCTGGATTATAGTTGCTGAAATAAAACCAGAGATTGACTTCAGCAAGATATGTTCTTTCTCAGACAGATACTTTTTTTTTTCAGCCAGATATTTTCTTTTTTAGTCAGATAATTTTTTTTTTCAGTCAGATACATTATTTTTTCCAGATCCCCCCCCTCCCTTTTCTTCTTCCTTTCTTTCCTTTTTCTTTCTCAGGCAAATTGTGACCTGACATCGTGGGAATGAGCATCAGCATTTCAAGATTAGATTGTTAAGCCCCACAAAACCAGGGTACTTGCAGAAAGTCCTTGTCACCAGCTGTTGGCCTGTGATAACCAGCCCCAGCACAGGTGTCATAGCACATCCCCCTTGACTGGTGTAAGAATTCATGGTTTTGTTTATTTGTTTAGTTTTAGTTATTCACTGTATTTATTTTTTGTTTATTTATTTAATTTTATTAAATAAGGCCCTCAAGCCTCAGTGACTTGCTTGACATCTCTGTGGCATGGGGAGACCTGTGATTTCTCAAGCCTGCAAATCCATTTTTTTCTGGTAAAGATGGAATTGCCCATGTCCCACACCTGACCTGGATGTCCCTCCCTGTGGGTCAGTCAGTGGCACAGAGCTCTCAGAGGGTCTCAGGGTGGGGGGCTGGTTTCACCTCCTTTCTCTCTCATGATGCACACAAGGACCACGTCCTAGAGCAGTCCCAAAATGGCAGGTTTCAGCATAAAATCATAGAATTGTTTGGGTTGGAAGAGACCTTCAGGATCATCAAGTCCAACCAGTACCCCAGCACTGCTAGGTGCTCAGCCCTACTAAACTACATCCCCAGACATTGCCCAGTAGCTTCAGGGGTCCCTCCCTCCTGTCCCACACTGGTGTCAAGCTACGGCTCGGCTCTGAAAAGCAGGCACGGGGTTTAAGACCCTCAGTTTTTGTGTTTTTTGCCTAAAAGTCTCAAAATCTAAACAGAGCCACCTTCTGAGTGCCGTGGCCATACTGGGGGGTGTGTGGGTCTCTGTGCACATTCCACTGACTGAGGCTTAGCTGGGCTTGCTCTGCAGAGTGCCTTCAGTAAGCCACTCAGGGGAGGACCCTCGCATGGGAACTTCTCTTCTGGACTGTCTCCCTGCTTCACAAAAAGGAGGACTATAAGAAAAGGAGGAAGAAACACAATGTTTCTGTGACGGTCCTTGCATCGGACAAGGAAACTACGGGGTGTGTTTGGCATGGGGCAACCTGTGAGACCTCATGGATTTGCTTTCTCACTCATGGTCTCCAAAGTGAATATGTGCCCCCACTCCTTGTTTATCTGAGGAGCTCCCCACCGGGGATAGCAGGGACCGGGAGCATCCCGCACCCCGCATCCCGCCTCCCGCACCCCTCAGCATCCAGCAGAGGGAAGCAACGAGCCGCGCTCCGCAGCCTCCCGGGGCACAGGGGCTGGGCTGGGGCAGATCCCCCGGGATCGGTTAGCAGGATCCTGCGGGATCCTGGCTTCCCACCTCCCCAGGGAGACCAGGCTGCTCACTGCCCATTTGGATTCGATCCAGACTTGAGCTGCTGGTCAATCTCTTCTCCCAAGCAGTGAGCGAAGGACAAGAAGAAACCACCTCAGGTTTCTCCAGGGGAGGTTGAGGTTGGCCCTGAGGAACAATTTCTTGCCCTTGAGGGTTGTCCAGGGCTGTGCCAGGCTGCCCAGGGCAGTGGTGGAGTCCCCATCCCTGGAGGGGTTTCCAAGCTGTGGAGATGTGGTGCTGAGGGACACGGGTCAGTAGGGACCTGGCAGTGCTGGGAATGGTTGCATTCAATGATCTGAAAGGTCTCTTCCAACCAAAATGATTCTGTGATTCTATGATCATATGTGGGGTGGGGGATAAGGGTGATTAGGAGCAGAGGGGCCAGGTCTGGCAA